AAAAAATGAACTGAATCTTCACGGTGTTGGTGAAATCCATGGCCCTTACTGCAGATCCTCGTTCCATCTCTCTCGCTAGACTGTAAACCCCGTGAAGGTAGGGCGCATGATGCCCATCTTGCCCACCCTCATAGCCTAGGTTCTTGGCACAGTGCCTGGCATATGGTCGGTGGTCAATGCATATTTCTATTCAACAGATTTTTATATTTATTGAACAAGTCGATGAATTTTCCAACCATAGGCTCTGAGTGCCAAGTACGGGTTGTTTCTAGGGTTGAATCAGAAGCTGTCTTAGTCATCTAGTGCTGCCATAACAGAAATACCACAAGTGGATGGTTTTAACAAAGAGAAATTTATTTCCTTACAGTAAGGTAGGCTAAAAGTCCAAATTCAGGGTGTCAGCTCCAGGGGAAGGCTCTCTCTCTCTGCCTTCTCATCAGTGTTCCCCCAGACTAGGAGCTTCTCAGCGCAGGGACCCCAGTCCAAAGGACGTGCTCTGCTCCCGGCACTGCTTTCTTGATGGTATGAGGTCCCCCTCTCTCTGCTCACTTCTGTCTTTTATATCGCAAGACATTGCCTCAGGATACAATCCAATCTTGTAGATTTTGAGTCCTGCTTTACTAACACAACTGCCGCCCATCCTCCCTCATTAACATCACAGAGGCAGGATTTACAATTTACAGGAAAACCACACTATACCAGGAATCATTGCCCAGCCAAATTGATACACACATTTTTTGGGGGACATAATTCAATCCATGACAGAAGCCAAACGGAAGCAGTAGCTGAGGTCCTAGAAGGATGCTTCTGCTTTGTTGCAGACGAATAATGAGACTGGTGCTTTCTTCTTTCTCTTTCTTTTGTACTTTATTCCCTTGCTTCCTAACCAGTTGCCATCGAGTTGATTCTGACTCATGGTGACCCCATCTGTGTCAAAGTAGAACTGTGTTCCGTAGGGTTTTCAATGGCTCATTTTTCAGAAGTAGATCACCAGGCCTTTCTTTCAAGGTGCCTCTGGGTGGACTCGAACCTCTAACCTTTCAGTTAGCAGTGAGCAAGTTAACCGTTTGCACCACCCAGGGACTCCTTCCTTGCTTTCTGCTCTATATTCTATGCTTCCCCAATAACACGTAAAGCCATCTACCAGGTCACACACTGTTAGTCTTCACCTTTTCCCTCTACTATCTGTCCTTTATTAGAACATCCTCCAACTTTACATCTGGATCTTAGACTTGCCCGACTTTTGCTTCTTAAACCCAGTTAATGGGACAACTTGTTTAAAACTGTTTCAAACAGAGATGGGCCAGGCTTTAAAATATTACAGCAAAGAAATAGAGGAATTGATGTTTTTCCATTACTTTATGTGATTTTATCTCTGCAGCATTTGACATTGTTGTCCACTTTCTACTTTTTGAAACTCTTTTTCTCTTAGATGGTAGATCACCTCACTCTCTGGGTTCTTCTCCTACTATCTGGCCATTTCTTCTCTTTGTCTCTTCCCTTCCTTGTCCATCCCTTAAGAGCTGGTGTTTCCCAAGATTACTCCTTGTTCTTCCTTCCTTCCCTTTTTCCTCATACATTTTCTGGGTGTCTCACTTGTTCTCGTGCCTTCAGCTCTCACATGTGCTCATGACCCCAGATCTAGCTCACCTGTCCTGAACTTTACAATAATTCTTGATGTTTATTTTCAACTATCTAGTACATACTTACTTTTTTTAAATAATATTTTATTGTGTTTTTGGAAAAAGTTTACACAGCAAATTATGTTCCCATTTAACAAGTTCTATACATATTGTTCGGAGCCCTGGTGGTGCAGTGGTTAAGAGCTCGGCTGCTAACCAAAAGGTCAGCAGTTCAAATCCACCGGCCACTCCTTGGAAACACTATGGGGCAGTTCTACTTGGTCCTATAGTGTTGCTATGAGTTGGAATCAACTCAATGGCAATAGGTTTCTTTGGTTTTATACATATTGTTCAGTGACATTGGTAACATTTTTCACAATGTGTGAGCATTCTCGTTATTTCCATTCTGTTTGTTCTGTTTCCATTAATCTAGCTTCCTTGCCCCCTGCCCGCTACCTTCTCATCTTTGCTTTCGTCTCATATAATTGATTATTTAAAGGAGCACAGTACTCACAGGTGACGTTGTTTATTTTATAAGCCAATCTATTATTTGACTGAAAGGTGACCTCCAGGAGTGGCTTCCGTTCCAAGTTTAAAGGGTATCTCAGGGCAATAGCCTCGGGGGTTCCTTTGGTCTCTACTGGTATAGTAAGTTTGGCCTTTTTTAGGAATTTGAGTTTTGTTCTACACTGTTCTTTCATTCTATCTGGGACCATCTTCCAGTACACACTTTCATTTATTTTTGTTTGTATTTTTGCTTAAGTGGCTTGTTTATAATAGATGCTTCACTACTTCAGCTTAACCGCCATACTGATACCATGGTTGTTTTATTGAAAAATAAATCTGAGCATTTCATCCCTCTCTTTAAATACCTCTTAGAGAGTCCCAGAGCTTCAGGGTAAATCATCAGCACCATCACCGTCAGCGTCAGCACCACCGTCATGATTGTATAGGTACTTGGTGCCAGGCACTGTTCTAACCACTTTATGTATATTAACTCATTTAATGCCCACAACCGCTTTGTGAGGTAGGTACTGGTGTATCCCCATCTTACAGATGAGGAAAGTGGGGCACAAAGATGCCGAGTTACATGCTATAGTTCACACAGAGACCAAGTCCATCCTTTTTAGCTTGGTTATGGAGCCCTTCCGTGACCGTCCTCAGCTTCCTTCCCTCTGTGCTCTAGTCACATGGACCCTTCTCCTGTGTCTTAACACTACTTCCTGTTTCACATTTCTCTGCCTTTGCTGTTCTCATTACCCGGAATGTTGCTAACTCATTTTTTTTTTTTTTTTTTTT